GGGCTCCATATGTATTTCCACATATTAGTTCACCATAAATACAGGAGAACTAGTGTTAGCGCCAAATCACTTTAATATTCTCCCACACTGCTGTAATGGCATGCTTCTAAAAGTTCCATGCCTTACCTCTCGAAGTCACCTTGTCTGCCAGTAGAGGTTGCCCTGCTTTGTGTGTTCGTGATACACGTAGAGAACACTTGCTTCCCATTAGGGAGTTGGAAACCACCCCCACTATCTGAACGCCTGGCACCCCCCCCTCCGTCATGATGGACAGAGCCTCCTCCCTATACAATTCACCACCAAATATGTCATCCAGATTGCTCATTTCCCTCAGGAAATCTCATTTAGGTTCATTTTGGCACACAAATTGAGGGTAATTCTTGAGCAATTTCTCTTTTGACGGCTTGCAACATGTAAAATTTTCCTACAATGTGTTGCGAAAGAAATCGCTGGAAAAATACTAAGAACATCTGATACTTGTCCGATCACCTTTGTAACAGCGAGATAGACCTCTTTTGAAAGGCAGTACCTGGTGAACAGAGAACACAAACTCGTGGCGGGTGGGTGGGAAGCAGATGTTGGCTCTGGATGTTATCAGTAGATGCTGTTTGAACAGTGAGAATAAAGGAGCCATGTAAGGAGTTCTCTTGGGGTCTCCCGTGCCTTCCCTTTGGCTTTTTAGCCTTTTTTGAATTTGTCTGAATGAAGAAAGTATTTCTAGTTGAGGAGTGTTGTAGAAGAAGGGACGGGTCCTCTGGTTACATGGTAATGAGGTTTACTTAAAAATAGATGCTTTTCAGGCATAATCAAATATATAAAAATGATAATAACAAGCCCCAGCATTCTCTGAGAAGCTGCCACAGCACATCAAGGGTTCTATCTCTGGCCCTCATTTCCTCATTCTAAAGACCTGAAGAGGTCAATACTACAGCATCTCCAGTCACAAACCCAAAGGCACCCAAAAGCCAACTCAACTGGTTATGCAAAGAGCCAGGACTCATAAGCACAGAGCAAGGACAGGACCCAGGACTTGTAGACTCCCATGCTTATCTTAATATGATGACACTTTGCTGGGGCCTCCAAAAGAGTTTGGGGCTAAGCCACCAGTTCTGAGTCATCTCCATTAGACAGGAGTTGATCAGCATCCTGATTCACAAGCCAGAGTTCCAGCCACTGATATCTCAGGATAGATTGTCTCCAGCACCTTGTGGAGAAGTAGCCTAGCTGTCATCTCACATTAAGTTAGAGACAAAGCCAGGCACAATATTATTCCCGGTTCAATATTCTTCCCCTCATTCCACACTGCTTTTCCTGCTAGATGGTGGCATCGAGTACACTTAACAATTGCATGTCAGTGTTCTTGAGGGGAGGTGTCCTAGTTTGCTTCCTTTCTTGCTGTGTTTAAACACTCTGACTATAGATGGGGTTATTTGTATTTTATATTACACTTCCAGGTCTCAGTTCATTGTTGAAGGGAGTCAGGGCAGGAACTCAAGGCAAGAACCTGATGCATCAACCACAGAGGAATGTTGCCTGCTGGTACACTCAACAGTTTTGAGCACTGGCTCAAGCTTACCATTTTTTTGTATAGCCCAGGAATGCCTGCTCTAGAAATGGTGATGCTCACAGTGGGCTGGGCCCTCCTACACCTGTTAATGATCAAGAGGATCGCTCATGGACATGCCCACAGACCAAGCAAGTCCACACCTGAGGATCCTTCTCTTGGATGACCCTAGTCTAGATCAAGTTGACAATTAAGGTTAACCAGGACAGGGAGAATCAGCTGTTGACAAAAAGGAACCATTACCCATATGATAGTATATCACAGAACCATACCCTCCAAATGTATAGAAATAATGGTAAAATTCAAATACAGTCTACTCTTTAGTTAACACTACAGTGCCAATGCTGGCGGTAGACGTGACTTTGACAATGCATAGTGTGATGTCATCATTAGAGGAATCTGGGTAGAAGGTCAACAAAACTCTCTATAGAGCTATAGCTAGGGCTGATCAACTTTTCTGTCTTAGTTATATGTTGATCTGCTAAGACACCATGAGCAAGACAACTTATAGAGCGGGCATTAAGGGCTTACAGTTCTGGGGGGTCTAAGAGCTCATGATGGCAGCCATGAAAGAATGGCATCATCTAAGAGTTCCCATAGCAAGATTTCAGCAGGATACAGAGAATCTATTGGGAATGGAACAAGCTCACCCATAGTGACATTCCTCCTTCAACAAGACTATGCCTCCTCAACCCCAAACAGCCAACTGAGTACCAACTATTCAAATGCCTGAGACGGATGGAGAACATCTCATTCAGACCACCACATTGTCCATAATCATCAATTTAGTTAGACTCTTGGCTTTGGTAGAGTAGGATCTATCTTCTTTTTAGGTTTGTTTATTTTTATTTTATGTGTGTAAGTGTTTACCTATATGTCTGCATGTGAACCACATGCATGTAGCATCTATGGAAGCCAGAAGAGGATATCAGATCCCCTGAAACTGAAGTTATAGATAGTTGTGAGCCTCCATGTAGGTGATGGGAACCAAGCCCAGGGTGTAACCACATGCTTTGTCACCCAGCCACTTTGTTTCCTGAAGTAACGACTCTGAGACTGAACTATTACAATAAATGCCTAAGCCAATAGCTTTGGATTGTTTCCCGACTAGTTCATAACTCAATTATCCCGTTTATCCTATTCTGTGAGTGCCACATGGCTAGTCACATGGCTAGTCACCTCTTCTTGATTTCATGTGTCTGTCACCATCAGTGGTCCAGGGTAAATTCCTCCCCACGCCTCACCCCGCACCTGTCTCTATCCCAGAATGTTCTCTCTGCCCCACAATTTCCACCTCCCTACTTCCTGACTAAGGTAATGGACCAACAGCATTTTATTAACAAGGAATGCTTTCATACATGGCACAAGAGTTTCTCTCTACACCTCTTCAAGAGCAGCCAGTGCTCTTAACCAATGAGCCATCTTTCCATCCCCAGGGTCTCTATCTTACAGAACCTCTGAACTGACGATAGTAGCAGTTCTTGTTTCAAAGTAAGTGAGAATGCAAGACAGCGAGGGTGTGGCTATCATCTTTGTTGCTGTCCTGCTAAAATGTTCAGGGGGTGAACACTTCCTTTAAAGGGGAAGACAGACGTAACAAGCATTGCATTTTGAAAGGGTAATTGGATATGGATGACTATGTTGTGGTGATGTCCTGTTATTGTCAGAAATAATGTTTTACAGAGAAGCTATTTGTGGAGAGACCAGTGATTACTGACTATCAGTGATGACTGATGGACTGACTGTGCACTCGGGAATATGGAAGCAATAAGAGAGAATACGGTGCCTGCAGAAAAGTCAGTCAAAGCCAAGGAGCAAACGTAAACACCTTCTGATCTGACCCCAACTACAGCATTCAACCCGTAGGACCCACGTGGATAGACCCACGGTTATTTAAGGCAATCAGAAGTGAGCTTTGAATGATCTGCTGGCCACTCCGCTCCCATGATGCGGTCTCATGGTTGCTATTAGATTCAAAACCCAAAACAAGCCTGTGAGTCAGTGAGCATATGTCTTAAGTTTTAGAATACCATTCTGATTTCATCTTCTGTAGCCCCAGACCCCAGTGAATAATCCTGTAATCCCAATATTTCATCATCCAAACTACATTCTGCTTGCTTCCATCTGCCCATGGAAATGTGACAGAATTCTCTGCTCAGACCGTGAGTTCCAGTTTTAGATTCAGGAAACGGGATCATAAGCCCCGTGGAGCCAGCTTGGGCAGCGGGAGAAAGATTTCAATCAAGATCATTCTGTTTTGTTCCAAAGCTTTATTTTTAATGCAAAATAAAAAATTATCTAATAGAAACATAAATGGTTGATGGGAAAATAAAGAAGAAAAAATTGAATAATGAAATTGGGGGCATAGGATTCAAGTTAGAGAAGAGTTTCCACAAATGAGATTAACCACCGTATAAAGAAGCCTGTTACTGGAAGCCTGCCTGCCGGCCATGCAGCCTGATGATGCTTTGGGCATTGGGCTTGAGGAAGGGCCTCCAAGAAACAAGCAAATGTGTGTGCACTCCAGTCTCCAGAACCACAGTTACCAGTGGAGACTCAAAGACTGAGCTCTAAGCACCCGTGAAACTGGGCCAGGAAACAGCATGGGGGGGGGGGGTGACTTTGTCACATGGTAGTAGGATCTGCCATGTAGAACAGACTTGGAGGCAAACCTCAGTTTTAAGTGAGGTATTTCCTGTGTGGTTCCAAAGAGATTTAGGAAATTCCCAGCATGGGACATCCGTGACCCTCCATAGTCCAGGGTGGGAGCCAGGGGTATAAAACCATCTCCACTGCCCCAATTATAGAAATGTCAAACCCTACTTCCTTCCTATTCACTTTCTCCTGATCAATTACCTCAACCGAATGAACTATTGAATTGGTCTGTCTTGTTTATTGTGTGGGGCCCCTAACCTACACCCTTGAGGATACATTTCATGAGTAGCTGAAACAGAAGGCTCTTGCCCAGAGTAGAGGCTATGTGCATATCAGTTCAATAAAGGCGTGTATGAACTTTAAAAAATTTATATGTCTATGCATGTGGGTATATGGACATACAACTTATATGTGCATGTGGCGACCGGCGGTTGACATGGGCTGTTTTCTTCTGTTCCTTTCCATGTTTCTCTTTGAGTCTCTTACAGAACCGTTTGTCACTGGTTGGCTAGACTGGGAGACTCCAGGAGCCTTCCCGTGTTGAGGCTCTAGGCACTTACTGCCGTGCTTGGATTTTTTACATGGGTGCTGGGCTCCAAACTCAAAACCCCATGCTTGTACAGCAAGGGCTTTGCCATTCTGAGTCATTCCCTCAGTCCCGGGAGCAAGGGAAGAAGTTCGGTTAGAGGCAGAAGATCTTCCGCCAACCCTTCTCACTTCTTCCTTCCAGAAGCTCCTGATCTGTGCCACAAAACCTTTTCTATCTTTTTTTTTTTTTCAGAGCATTGGATGTGATGACTTCCTGGGATCTGACAAAGTCGTGGACAAGTGCGGGGTGTGTGGAGGTGATAACACAGGCTGCCAGGTGGTGTCGGGAGTGTTCAAGCATGCCCTCACCAGCCTGGGCTACCACCGAGTTGTAGAGATTCCCCAAGGAGCCACAAAAATTAACATTACAGAGATGCACAAGAGCAACAACTATTTAGGTGAGTCCACTTATCTTCTCCACACAGGCACAAGAGACCGTCGCTGCCACTGATGAATCTGTTGCAGGATGCTGAGGTGAACACAGTGGTGGCCAGGCATTCCAGGACATTCGGGAAGTGTCATTAGGGTCTTCTTGACCTGCCCGCTGGAATGGGGGTGGGGTGGGGGGTATCCTTTCAAGAACTAAATAGTTGATGTCTATATATTTAAATCTGGCTTTACTCTTCTCCAGAAAGCTGTGGTCAACAAACAAAGAGTGGGCAACACACTCTTCTGAGCTGAGAGGAGCTCTTTGTCAAGAAGGGAGGCCTGCTAGTCTTTGTTCTCTTGGGAATTGGGGGACAGGGACAGCTGGTGATTCCTCCCAGACTTTCACTCCCTGGAGGCCTTCTCTCTGCTTCATCTGCCTGGGGTCCCAGGCCCTTGTGTGTCTTCTGAACTGCAGCAGAGCCCTCAGAAGTCACCTCAGCAATACCCACTTCCCTGCAGGCCAAGCCTTCCCGGGCTTTCTGGACAGCTAGGTCATTTGAATCCCTTCCACTGTGCAGCAGTCACGAAGCGAGCAGTTACCAGTTTCCACTTCAGATCAGCATAGGTACGTCAGTTAAGCAGAGATTATAGGGGTGCCATTTCTGCTTTTTGAGACAGGTCTTGATCCATATCCCAGGCTGGTCTAGAAGTCATAATGTAATCCAGACTGGCTTTCCTCCTCCAGGCTGGAATCCCAGTCGTGTAAGTCACCAAGCCTGGCTAAAGGTATCATTTCTTCAAGACATTTAATGGGCAGAAATAGCAGAAATAGACATTTCCTCTTTCATTATTTGTTGAAGAGGAACTTGTTTAGAACAAATAATGTGCCAGGCAATATATTTACGGCTTTTCCTGTATAAAATCCTGAAGCACTCTAAACAACCTATAGCTTACAAGCTTGTTTTACAAATAAAACAGAGACGTACAGAGATCATAGAACTTGTCAAAGTCACACAGCAAGGAAGCATCAGAGCTTGGAATCAAACCAGAGGAGTGTAGCTCTAGGCGTGGAAGTTTAGTGTGAGAGAATACCCATTGGATTTGTCCACTATACCACCGGTCAGTGTGTACTAGGGGTTTTTGTAGTGTGGTATGTGTGTCTGTGTCTATGTCTCTCTCTCTCTCTCTCTCTCTCTCTCTCTCTCTCTCTCTCTCTCT